CACATTTCCGATGGTGGCGCATTCAGTGACATTTGTTGAAGTGGTATACCATATGACTTTTAGGATACCTTGCGTGGTAGCTTTTTTCGTCACTTGGTAGGGCCCGGAAAACTTTGTGTGTGTTCCATGGATGCCTTTCCTAACAATGACGACATCGCCCACTTGAATGTTAGGGACTGAACGAAATCTTTTGTCAAAGTTTTTCTTCATTCTTTTCCTATAAAGCTCTTCCTGTTTATAGGTCTTCTTTTCTTCAGTCAGCACTAGATCATCTTTGATGCCAAGTTGTACATCTGCCGGCAAGTAAGGTGCAAGCCCGAAGGCCGCGTAGTTGGGACTACAGCCTAGGGCTGTAGTATGTGAGCGGTTATGATGGGCCACTGCTGCCTCAAGGGCACACTTCCAACCGCCGACGAAGTTCGGGTACATAAACAAGTACTGCTTCAAGTCTCGAATCAGTCGTTCTGCGAGGCCATTCGCTTCCGGGTGATATGGGGCAGCAAAGCGCAGTTCGATTCCCCTGGATCTTGCCCATTGCTCCAGTTTTTTACTCCGGAACGCAGGACCATTGTCCGAAACAATCACCTTGGTGTTCTTAAACATATCCCTTTCTAGCATTGAAATGACGCTGTTTGCGTCTTCTTTTCCTGCTCTTGAGGCAGCGATGCGCGTACACTCGTCTATGGCTATAAGAAAAGCTTGGGTTCTAGCCACTCCATCACCCTTCTTTCTTAATTCGGCGAAATCCAGATGAACTACTTCAAATGGGACATCCGAGTGAATTGGCAAAGTCATCTCATTGAATCGTTGCTTCTGCTTGGCTTTGTTCATCTGGCATTCGTGACACGAACGCACATACTGGTAGATATCTTGCTTCATTCCAGGCCAGCAGAATCGGTGAGCCAGTTTACTATACGTCTTCCAAAATCCATCATGGCCGCCTGATTCTGGACTATCATGGTATAGCCTGAGAATGTAACTCACAGCCGTGACTGGAACTTGAAACTTGCCATCGCTGAAAGTTAGATCTTCGGTTCCCTCCCACAGTCGAGTGTAGAAGACCTCCTCCGTATCATGCCTCATCTCGGAAATCGACAGACGAGACAATGCATCTGCATCTTTAAGGTGAACTCCTGGCCGATGAAATACTTCAAACTCGAATTGTTGGAGTTCGTTTATCCACCTAGCTGTTTTTCCTTTCAGTTCAGTCATGCATAGGAGGAACGTTAATGCTTGGTGATCCGTGAAGAGCTTGAACTTGTGGCCCTCGAGGTACGAGCGAATGTATCGCACGGCCTTAAGAACAGCTAGGGCTTCTTTTTCTGTTGTTGTGTAATTTACTTCAGGCTTAGAAAAAGTATATGAGTGATACCCTATGACAGAGAGCTGTTGAGATGTTGGCTTTGTCGGATTACGTTGATACAGAACAGCACCTGTACCATAGTGGGATGCATCCGTGTTCAGTTCAAAAGGCAGGTCAAAATCGGGTAAAATCAATACAGGATCAGAAGAAATCGCTTGCACTAGATGCTGGTACGATTCTTTACACTCGTTGGACCATTCGAATGGTACATCATGCTGCGTTAGTCGCGTAAGGCACCTTGTCTTCTTTGCAAAATCCTGGATGAAAGGCCTGAAATGTCCGGCAAGCCCAAGAAACACTCTAAGCGAATGGACGTCAAAGGGCTTTCGGAGGCTGGAGATCCGAGCAACGAATTTTCGCTTGGTAGTTTTAGACCTTCCGTCAAAGTTCCGCCCAAGAAATACAACCTTTCCTTGGAAGAATTCACTCTTTTTTACATTGATCTTAAGATGTGCCCCTTTCAAAGCTCCCAGCACGGATGCCAGATGTCGACCATGATCTTCTTGACTATTTGAATATACAATTATGTCGTCGATATAGACGTTACAGAACTTTCCTAGAAATGGGCTTAGTAGTTCGTTCATCATCTTTTGGAACCAGGCTGGTGAATTCTTCCAGCCAAAGGGAAGTCTGTTGTACTCGTATACTGCAAATGGTGTTACGAATGCAATATATTTCTTGTACTCTTCCCTTAAAGGAACTTGTAAAAATCCTTTACACAGGTCAATCCTAGAAAATACTGTGCATCCTCCTGTCTCATCGATGATGTTGTCAATTCTGGGCATTGGAAAAGGAAAAAGTTCGGTTTGACGGTTAATCATGCGATAATCGGTACATAGCCGTAGTGATCCATCTTCCTTCGGCACGATGGTTATTGGTGATGCAAAAGAAGAGACAGATGGTCGAATGATTTCGGCATCCAGCATGTCTTCTAGTTCCCTCTTTAGCCAACGTTTCTTTTCTAAAGACATGTTGTATGGCTTCCGTCTGACAATGGTGGTATCCGCCAACTCGAATGGTACTTCGAAACAAGTGGTTGCGGGTGGGTATTTGCCCACAGGTATTATTTCTGGGTAGTTAATGAGTATATCATCAACCGATTCCACATATTCTACCTTATTCTTTGCACTGGCAAGGTTTGTGTCAGATACTTGGACCGTATCATCCCAGTATATGTTGATGTGCATTCTCTTCATATCCGGCCGAGACAGTAGCAAGTCATAATTTAATCCATTAATTACTAGAGCTTCGGTCTGGACTTGTTGGGATTCATATTGAATGGTCAGGTGAATCCATTTGGAGTGTATTTTCTTTCCTCCGTCGTAGCCTTGAACCTCGATTGTACGACCCTCAAAAGTTCTTTCACGATCGACAACCTCTAGGTTAACTATAGTTACAGACGCTCCGCTGTCGACGACAGCTTTTAAAGTTGTTCCATTCACATTTACATTTATATACAAGCGTGTTGATTGGGACAAAAAGACAGTCTCCATTGTTGTCGAGGGGTGGGACTGTACACCCTCCTTTACCAGTTTTTTGTGGTTGTCTGGACTTCAGCCATTTCACGGTCCTCAAATGTTGCTAGGTGTGTCGCTGACTGCTTCTGTGCCACAGCTTGTGGATTCCAATGCGAAGGCTTTTGTCCAAGACTTCTATATCTGTGCGACTGAGGAGTTGCTTCAGCAGGCTTCTGCGCTGCTCGGGGCCACGCATCTAAGCAGAGATGTTGAAAACAGTCCAGAAGGCCCTCCACATTTTTGGGCGCTTTCACTTGGACCTGTTTTTGCAGCTCTTTTGGAAGTCCGTGAATAACCAGCGGGACTACGGATGTGTCTGGTAGGGAGTAGTCTGCCATCTGGAGCAATCGTCGTTTTTCATAGAAATATTCCATGACCCTTCCTGCTTTGTACTTGTAGAATATAGCTTTATCCCACTTCTCCACGGGATTCTCTTGAAATGCCGAATGAAAACTTCTTTTCCACTGTTCCCAGGGGTCGTTGAGATGGTCCGTTAAGTGGGATTCATACCACTTTTTCGCCATTCCGGTGAGAAAAAGTCGCAGATTTTTTACTTTGTCATCGTCGGAACGCCAGCCATTCTTCTCACTAGCGTATTCATAAAATGACAACCAAGCTTCTGAGTTTGTTGTGTGACCATCAAACGGGTCCGGCTTTACCATTCGAAAGCGTGGAGCTTCCTGGTTTCGTGAAAGTCCGACGATGGCTTGAAGCTGTTGTTGGTTTTGCATTATTTGTTGTTGTTGTGCAAGGAGGATCTGGTGGACAAGGTAATTTGGGTCCTCAGGGTTAGTGACAACAGCACGCTGAAGGCTTTCGAGCCCGACAAAGTTGTTTTGGGGATAGGCCTGGTTATTGCCTTGGGGACAGGCCTGTGAGTCACCTTGAGTTCCCAATTGGAAATCGCTTTGAAAGTTGGATTGGAACTCGCCTTGGGTTCCGGTTTGAGAGCCGCCTTGAGGACCGGCATGGAAGCGGAAGCCGTCTTGAGGATTCAACGGGCCCTCCTCCATGGGCTCTATGATAAAGGTCTGAAAATCTGCTACCTTTAGGTTGACCTTGACAGTCCTTTTCTGTAGGATGGCACTGACGTCCAGTCCTGTATTGTCAGAAACGAGTTGAATCAACTCCCGAGTAGTGATACGAGGTGGTAATGGAAATGCCTCCTCGTCTTGAGGCTGGCAAGATGAGAAGACGAGGTCTTCTCCGGCGTCATCTTTTATAGTGAGGGTGATCCACATGATGGGATCCTGTCGACTGCGCCAAAATGTAACGTTCTACAAATACAAATCGAGATAGCTTACAAAATAGTGCTTTACTCGATCCGCCATTTCTATGATTCCCCCTTTTCTTCTACTTCTATCCCTGCTCTGCCTGGTTTCTTCTTCTTCTATGTCCATCATCTAGCTGTCACAAGTTTAACGAATAATTCAGTTAAAAAGAATTTCAGCTCTCAGCGGCAGTCAACTTTCTTTGCTAGAAATACTATGAAAATAAGAGGCGGGTACTGATGAAAGTGTAGACCTCGAAACCCTAGAAAAAAAAGAAAGAAAAAAAAAACTACCGAATTACAAAGGTCAAAGGTCAAAAGTAAGAGTAATATTATGAAGTTTATCCTTAATAAATTAGTATTCTGGTCTTCTTCGACTTATAAAATTCAGTCCAAATTCCGCTGTAAGACTTTACTCGACTCAAAGAGAGCTCAATACTAAGTGAGGTTCCTCAAATTAGCATTTTATTGTCTCTGAGAACTTGTTAGTTGCTAATGGCATTATTTTTGAAGGCTCGAAACTACTATAGGCATTCTAAAATTCGAGTTCCTTCGGAACCCGAATATGCCTATAGTAGAACATAAATATGCCATAATTATATTTGAAGAGCATTAGAAACCATACGGTACCTTCGATCTTACATTACAGCTAACTTAGTTTGCGTTAAGTAAATTTGAGATTCTTTACTTTAGCACATCCGAGGGGAATATATATATATATATATTTTTTTTTATTTTATATTGCCAGATATTATTTCATCACGGAAAACATAAAGAAATGCGCGCGAAGGTTTGTTCGTTTATTAGCGAAATTCCCCCATATGTGTTTATGCATGAAATTCATGTGCAGGAAGCCAAACATCTTTGACAACATGCTGGCCATGATGGAGAAATACGCCACTAATCTGGAGGCTCTCGTCGACGAGCGAACTGACCAGCTGGTCCAAGAAAAGAGAAAAACAGAGGCGCTGCTTTACGAAATGCTACCGAGGTTTGTGTTTCACCATCACGTACAATGTTGGATTAAGGGCACGTGTTTACAGTGAATCTTAAGAATGTTTTGCGCATTCGGCAGCAAAGAGGTCGAAATACGATCCCACTTAAAAATTACAAAATATAGACCGTCGCGTCAAATCTAAAATTGATTCCATTTTCACTTTACCGTAAAAGCCTGAGAGCTAAATCTCTACAGAAAATGTTACAACATTTCTAATGTTCGCACGGTGTTACAATACAATCGGTATATCGGAAATGGGTTTCACTACTCGGATAAAAATGCATTTTTCACATCTATATCGATACAGAGGACCAGTGCTCGAAAGTGTCTCAAAAATACCATCGATATATATTTGCATCGCCCTACTGTTCAGCGCTGGCCACGAAACATACCAAGTGTCCGGAGGCTTGAACTCGTCTGGCGCATAGTAAGCTAATTCCAGTTTTCTAGAAAAAAAAATGAAAGCCGTTTACAACTCCCTCTAAAGCCGAATTAGAGTGCTCTCTTGAGGAGGAGGAAAGAAGGGTATTGAGGGGAGGGTACTTAAAAAAACGGTACTGAGGGGTCACGTGACCTGGGGAGGTCACATGACCTGGAGGGGTCACGTGACCGGGGGGTCCACGTGACCTGGGGGTCACGTGACCTGCGGTGTCACGTTACCTGGGGGCTCACGTGACCTGGTGGGTTCACTTGACCTTACGTTTACGCCGGAGGCGTAAACGTAAGGTCACCTAAGAGCTAAAAGTAATGCAGAATAGAAGGGATGTATTGGTGAATGCGTAAACGCGAAAATGCTGCCTGCTTATGCCGAGAAAGAAGCGAAACAGCGTGCAACACCTCTTCACCTTCGACCTTGCGGTGGTTTTTTAGTGCGAGCCAGACTTTTAGGCACAGTGCTACCATCGCGTGCGTATTCAAAATGCTAGAATAGTCAGGGCAGTCAACTTCGTCTCTCCCGTAATGGCGTGCCAGATGGGCTCCTACGTTGAGTCAGGTTATTCCCTGTAGCTACTGCAAACTCGCAGCCTTTCAGTGAACCTTGGTCACATTGCTGACACCTTAAAGGCTCTCCAAACAGGACACAGCAAATGAGATAGAACGCAAAAAAAAACAAAAAGAGAAAAAATGTGTGCCCCTTGTTGTCGTCTTCGCTCCTTTCTTGTTTTGGGGTGATTGGGAACCGAAACTACGGTGGCCTCGACGACATCCAACACAGCAAGGGAGTTACTCTCCGGACCCGCTTGACGAGCCCACTTCAAGCGTCTTTTCAAGGACTCATAAGAGGGCAGCTTTCCACCCCGGAAAAAAGAAGAAGAAAAATAACGTTGGAGACCGGATTGGCATTGTACTATACAGGAAATCCTCCATTTCCTGTATAGTGCATGCTGCACGGTATCGGCTGACTCCTCTTCGGACGGCCCTTTAGGGGGACGTCAGACCCGCTAAATACGTATTTCTAGAATAGAAGGGCGTATACTTTGCAGCCAATAAATGAGAAACGCCAGTGATGTTTTTTTTGCATTTGTAGTACGGTGTCGAACGCGTCCCTGAACGGTGTCTTTAACCGCCTTCGAAAAAGTACTGCCTCGGTTTCCTCCTGATGACGTCATAGAACTGTCACGGTGTCGCTGGTCGCGATCCTGGCGGTGTCCGAGCAGCGGTGGTGTATGTTAGAGACACCTATTCTGCTGCTGGTCTCTCTAAAGTTTGACAAACAACGGTAGCTTCGGCAGCCAGGAGTTCGGACGCCACGACGACCACGACAGTCGCGTTCGCTCGTACCTTTTTGCCAGCATTTCCATGACAAACGTCAGGAACGCGATATTTCGTTTCCAGTGTTCAGTTTTTTTACCAAGATTTATTATTTTGTTGAAGTCGATGTAATATGTGATAGATACCCTCATTGTTTTCTATGTCGCAATATTTTACATTGTTTTTGTGGCGTTTATTTATAATATCCTTGTTTAACTGAGTTCTAAATAGCCGATGAAATTTGTTCTTTCTTTTATGCATTCCAAATGGATAGTGATTGATGTTTCAGGCCCCGGACAGCCTTACAAAAATAGTTATGGACGTGCTATGTCCATACTTTTGCCGTTCTATAACCCCTTTGTCCATCCTATGGATTCCTGTAGACAGTTCTCGGACCATTTTTGAACTGCTGGTTTTCTTTAGATCGGCCACCGCAACGCTATGGGGATTTCCGCGAAACAAAAGCTTTCATTCCTTCCTGTTTTCATGCTATGCTCCTGGTTGGTCTATGGATATCACTAATCCTCTCTCTGGTGGGAGCTATAGATTGGTAAATTAATAAAGTGATGCCGAGTAAATGTTTTCTTTAGGTGTAGGAAGGTGTCCGATTTAAAAAGTTAAGTAAGCACCGGGCATCAATATGTTACATTGATGCCTGGAGGCATGTCCAACCTTAGGGCATATTCAATGTGGAGACGAACGCGTTCAGTATGTACCGGAATAATTCGCTTAGTTTATCAGTGGGAGGTAGGTGTACGTGGGTCTCTGTGGACACCGTAGATATAGCCCCCACAGACTGAGTGGCTTCCCTTCGGACGCCATAAGGACCCCGTGTAGACCCTGTATGGCTTCCCTGCGGACCCCGTAGGTACTCCCTGTAGATCTTGCATGGCTTCTTCGCAGTCGCTCAAGGAGCCTACACTTTAAAGAAAAACTTTTACAAGGCATGTTTTTGCGTAAAAAAACGGGAAAAAAACTTTTTGTAGTGTCCTTTATTGGAGATTCGTACAAAATGACCGGATCGTGATGTTTGCATGAAAGTTTAGCTTATAGGAATTTTAGGCACAATTAATATTGTTTTCATATAGCCATGTCTCGCCGGTGACTTCAGGCAGCGCATCCCGACCTGGGTGCGACCAAATTTCGTTGGTGATTCGCGGTGCGTCACCCAGGCAGACGGGGGTTGTCATCCCCTTTTATCATATATGTTTCGGAGCCAAAATAGCCGATTAAAATAAAAATAGAACACTCACACGCTGTCGAAGATGGATACTCCCAAAACAATGCTCGTGGCCGCGCAGTTCTCAGTGCGGCCCCTGCTTGAGAAATGCGGCTTTGCGATCGCCATTAGTTCGCTTCTCGAGTACGGATCGGTGCCACTTTTTGAGTGCAGGCTCTTTGGCATTTTTTTAACTGACTTGTTCTAGTAACCTTGGTTTCTGCGTACCCCGTAGCCATACCCCCTGCAGACTGAGTGGCGTCTCTACGGACCCAGTAGGGACTCTGTGCAGACCTTGTATGCCTTTTCTGTAGACGCCGTAAGGACCATGCGCAGACCCTGTATGGCTTCCCTGCGGACCCCTTAGTCACTCCCTGTAGACATTGTATGGGTTCTTTGCAGACCCCATAAAGACCCTTTGTAGACCCGATATCCCTTCCCCGAGGGTCCAGTAGAGACTCCCTGTAGACCTTGTACGGGTTCTCCGCGGGCACCCAATAGACACAATATGGATCCTGTGTAGACACCTTATATAGTCCCTATGGACTATATAGGGTGTCTCACTACAGAGAATGTATAGAATGACCTTGCATCGTCAATAGAATAGGACGTTCATAGTACGACCGTTGGACAATATTTTATAGGGCAGCCATAGGACGATCTCACGAAGGCAACGGCAGTCTTAATCTTCCTGTAGATGCCTTACGTTCTGCCTATGGACGCTTACCTATAGAACGTCCTAGAACTGTCCATACCTTTTTTTTTTCTAAGGGCATGCAGGGGCTTATAAAAGAGGCCACATAATGTTATAAATAAATGAATTCCAACTGCTTTCCACCTCGACTTTTGTGGCGTCATTTGTTGCCCCTTTAAGACAACTGTTGAAGTATTTGTGGGACACGACGCTAAACACGCCAGTCGGAGAATCGTTCCAGGCGGCATATTAGTCCCGAGCAGATTTAACCAAGCAATCAAACAATATTTTATAGAAGTTTAAAAGCCGTCCTCGACATTGCGGCACTTAGGAGCAGTTGGCCGCAATCCCCAATTTCTGTCGCAAAGGCATAGAAGTACAGTGCCATTTTTGTATCCACTTCCCCTGCCACAGAGGAAACGTCGGACCGGTGAATGAAAATAAATACCCAAGAATTCACTAGTTATTATAAAAATTGAAAAACAACTTGGGCCGTAATGACGCGTGAACCACCGTAGGAGCCTAATAATCTGCCAGCTAGATGTAGTAAATTTTAACTTCATTAACAGTTCGTTCTGCGGTTCAGTTTTAGCATGTCATCCATTGAGTAAAGGGGAGAAATCAACAATAAGTAAGGAATATTTGTAAACCTGGACCATTGATTTCAGTGACCCAGTGGGCCAAATATATACTGTTGCTTTTTTTTTTTCAATGATGGGCAGGTTTAATTGCAGACATACATGCACTCTTAAGAGTGAATATTACTGCATGTTGTCATTAAAATTCATGCTATTAATTTTTTCCTATCCATAAAAAAGACTTAAAATATCCGTTATACCAGAACTAACTGCAATCGCATTGAAATTAATTATACAAATTCGCAAAAATATATCTGCACGTAAGCATATCAGATTCGCGCAAACCCACTCAAAAAGGGCAAAATGCAGGTGCTTACCTAAAAGTTTTGATATTGCGTTAATTCCTAACTGTAATTATGTTTGTCGTCTTTTTTTCAGGTCCGTAGCCGACCAGTTGAGACGTGGGCGGCAGGTGACGGCCGAGAGTTTCGAGTCCGTCACAGTCTACTTCAGTGACATTGTGGGATTCACGCGCATGTCCGCCGAAAGCACTCCCTTCGAGGTACTCTCGCATTTATTCCCCCTTTTGATTTTCTTCGCCACAATCTCAGCGGCGCCATCTATAGTGTAACCTTGGCACACTTCCAGTCCGCATATATTTGCTTATTTTTGTTAACATTTAAGTTATTTTTCAATATTACATTGAATGACATCCGACTGTTGCTGCGTTCGAATTACCAGCACCCCGTGCACCAGAAGCACTCGGTGCACACTGCCGTATTTGATTTACGACCATAGCTTATATAAAAAAACACAACCGGAAATACATTGTCCCGCACATTGCTGCACCGTGCTTCCCTTTCCGTTACCAGTGCAGGCTGGTGCAGGTGAATCAAATGAGGCAATTGTTGTTAGCAATCACTTTTTTCAAAGATACCGCGTGGGTTTCATCTCAGGAATACTGCAACCCGGCCGCTTTTGTTCAGAACCGAATGTTTAAAGTGTATTCGCACACTGGCGCCACCGGGTCACTGCTCACGCGAGAAAAATGGAATACGGCGAGGGAGTGTTCGAATATGCGTCTTTCGCCCATCGGAAGGAAAGATGGAGCATGCAAATCAAAGGGCAAAATAGAGGACACGTAGAGAACGCGCGATGACTAGGCAGCCAAAAGCGCGCGATCTTTGGTTCTGGTTGGAGATTAAAAAAATCAGGTGTGCACGCTTTGGGGGGTAAAAAAAAGTACGAGATGTGCAAAGAGCAGGCAAACTTGCAGGTCGTATAGAAAGCCTGTTCCAAGCATACTTTTCTTTTAGGCCCAGAATGCTTAAATTTAACTTGTGTCGAGGTTTTATGTCTGGGTGCAAGTTTCTTAACACCGCGGCCACAAGAAAAGATGCTAAATGGGTTAATTAGTCTGCTGATTACCAAAACCTTTTACAAGGCTTTATTATTTTATTTTAGGGGTATACGTACCCAGAGGGTTCACGCTTGACCTCAGTGCGGTTAGTCCTGCAGCGAAATGATGATTCAATAGTTAGTAGCGTGGGCTACCGGTAGAGGAACGTTATCAGTGTACACGACTTCAAATCCAAACAACGTGGGTAAAGAGCAGCGCTATACACCAACATAACTCTGTCGCGTTACGCGGCGGTAGTGGCGCTTCGGCCGCACTTCTAGTATGGGGGTTGTAGGTGGAAGTCGTCGTGCGGGACAGACATTCTTGTATTGTTTTGCAAGACCTAGACTACAACCTGCCTTCTCGTCGAAACGGCGGGACTGGAGCTCTACCAAAAGAGCCGGGAAAAGTGCGAATGTTAGTTTTCATATGTTTTCTGCCTGCTCGGTTCGTCCGAGAAAGTGGATAGGCGCCGTGAAAAGAAAAAACAAAAAAAACAGACACCGTCGGACCACAATTACTTGTGTAGGAAGCACTTTGGGCTGAATTCACGGATAATTGTGGTCCCCAGCTCTATTCGTTTCGTCCCAACATGAACACGGGAAAACCGTAAAGTTTTCCGGACCACGGCTGGACCACGTACAGTGAGTTTTCAAGTTTAAACGGCCGTCCGATAGTACAAATTGTCGTCTATTTGTTCAAAAAGCAGCGCCAGTAGACAAAACGTTACGATAAGAAGTGCATGCCTCAAACGACGTTTAAGTTTGAAACTTATTTGGGGTATGTAAGATCGGTGTAAGCAGTAGCTACAAGATGTAGATCATTCTTATCATCACCGACTTATTATGCCTGATTCCCTGGGTCCGCTTCTTCTTCCGGTTTCCAGCAGTGTTGCCGAATCGTAGGAAATTTTCTATATTGTGGGAAGAAGCATGACAGCTAGGGAAAAGGGGAAACCAGAATTTAAACACTTGTAATCGTGTGAAATATTTTTTAATACGAAACTGAACCAAAATATCGTAATTTTCTCATCTACATCGAACAAGAGAAAGGAAGTGGCACTAGCCAGCAAATCAGTTTGCTCTTTTGAAGAGCCAACCTAATTCATCACGACTTACATCATGTGCGTGCTGCAAGCCTGCCGGTACAGTACTGCCGGTTCGCGCGCTTTTCTCACCGCTAGCTACGCACACTAATCCTTTGTCAGTGCGTTAGATCATGAATTGCACAGTGGGTGGGGTTCCTTTCACATCTCGAAAACGAGCAGGTGATTTTAGTTTAGTTTAGTTAATGGTCCGTTTGCTTTATTTAGTTCCCTTGGTTCATATAACCAACGTATAGTTCGGAGAAGAACGAGGGGAGACCAGTTTGCCGAATGCCAACTACATTTCGTAATTCATGCAATGCAAACTTCTGCAAAACAAAAACATAGGGGAGGTGTTGCTGCATTTAAATATACTTGGCGTCATGCGTATCTTAAAAACGGCTTCTGTCACTAAAATGGTGTTGTGGGAAAAAAAAAGGAATTTTCGCCGCTTGGCGAGGGAAAAACCGAAGCGGCATTGCGGCAGCACTGGTTTCCAGTATCGACGTCGAGTATCGAAGCTACCGTCCACGATTTTACAGCCCAAGTGACATCGAGACTGAAAATCGAGAGCAGAATTTAGTTATGTGAATCAGGCCTTAGCGTCAATTCTGCGCCGTTCACGCGGAATGAATAAGCACAAGTCACATTATTTGCATAAAGCTTTGCGGTGCGACGAGCCTGGCTAATTTCCCTTAGTCAACCGAACAAGAAAGATATTCCTCGAAAAACGTAAAACCAACAATTCCAACGCGAAAAAAAAAAAACAGAAAAAAAATGACATGGGGACTTACACCAACGACGAAATCAGACTCCAATGATTTGTTGATGCGGGACGGGGCGCTTCTTGCCCACACCCTATCGCGCTTGCGCGTCGCCGGGGGCTTGCTGCTAGGGACGCTACGATTTGTTCGTAGACATGACTTGGTGTGTAGCGGCCTGTTTCGCTAGTAGAACCGACGGAGGGTTGCGACACCGACATACTGGCGCTCCTCACGCGATTAGTTTCTGTTTGAAGACGATGGCAAGGGTTATGTTTCTCGTCCCATATATCAGTCGCTACAAATTTTCTATTCAAAATCTCGCGTCACGACTCTGCGAATTGAAGCTAGATTACAATACGGTATGTATTGTGATCCAGCTTCGATTCGCAAAATCGACCGCATCTATCACTTATCGGGTTTCATCGGCACCCATCATATTGACTCAACATACTGCAACCCCAAACAGCTGAAGGCAAGTTTGAAAACCCGAGGTATGGGCTCACCATGAGCGGAGAAACTACCACTCGTTGGGCTGTGAATAGAGATGTCTCTGAAACGTACCCTGGGATTGAGCGCAGAAACGGTGTATGGAATGCCTCTTCGCATTCGTAACTTTCAGCGACGGTAGTACCGCGGTGTGAGAATTGCACTCACTAATTCCTGGACGATAGGCTTTGAAATAAAGGGCGGTTGCCTGCACTTTCCTCACGTAAAAGATGGAATGAGGCTCTAATACTGCTCGCATAAAGCAAAACTAAGATTACTTATGCGTCGCAGACCAAGACTTATTCGCGACTCCAACTAACTATAGGTGGCGCCACTCATTTTCCAAGATGGCGGGTTTAGTGAGGGTCAGAGATGCGTGCCGCTGTTGAGCCTGTCTAGTGTGCTGGCTTCGCTGAGCGGCATAAATTATTTCTAATAATACGAGGAAGCTAATGTTTTATGAGCGCAGGTCACCTCTTTAACCTGAAAACAAGAACGGTGTTTTGCGTATTAATTACGGAAGGATGCGTGTTTTAATTCTGGAGCGAAACCGAAACTTACCTCTATTTTGGATTTAATTTCTCGATAGAGGTCTTAATTTCGGATTCTTCTATGACTCAAGATATGTCTCACATCGTAATTATTTACTTAGAAAAGTTGTTCGCGGAAACTTTATTTTGTGACATACTGTTCGATCCAGGCTGATATTCGTAGTTGTTGAGAAAATCAGTGCTGATATCTGTGCGTTCTCGCTGCCTTTTTATCGCTCAGATAATTGTCATGGGAAATAATGACAATTATCACAGCACAAGAATAACAGAATAATTCCAATTTTAACAATATGTCCACGAAACGCATAAACTAATAAACGCTGCTTTCACTACAACAACCCAAGACGGAATCCGAGTCAGACAGCTGAAGTGTGTGTGTGTGTGTGTGTGTGTTTATAAGCACCGCGTGACGCGTAGGACTTCATATTACATCCAGCGCTTAACTGTTTGTCTATCTTGATAACTATGTCGGATTTTTTCATATGCTAAAAATAAAACAGAATTATACCTTTCTGGAAAGACTATTTGGTTAAATAGAGTATTCTCGTGATCTTGGCGTTAATTAGAGGCATACATTGCCGCGATTTGTATTAATATAATAATATTAAAATTCACATATTTGAATAAGTAATTCTTCAAGCTCTAATATAATTTGTTGCTTATGATCTAATTTTAAACGCGCGAAGAAATATGACAATGAAAATTGTGCTAATTATTATCACTGGTTCCAATTGCTGCATTTTAATTACAAATAAAAGAAAAATAGTCTAAAATCAATGAAAACATGCTAGCTAATGTGAGAAATTCATGTAAAATTACATTAATTGTGGTTAAAGTATATTGTGCTATCAAGGTCGCGACTTTTGACAATCGGCGAAACGTCCAAAGTCGTCGCCAATATACTTCCAGACCAAATGCCCAAAAGTAAAAAAAAAAAAAAAAACTTTTTTTAATTATTAGTTTTTTCATAACATTTATTTACTTTTGTACTTACTCGCCGTTGTTTTGCCAATCTCAGCCTTTCCAGTTCGAAGGAACGCCTACCTGCTTGCACGTCTGCTCACCGCAGCACGTTTCGTTGGCGTTGGAAGCCGGTGAAACAGTAGTGAGTTTTAATATTGCGTATACGAGCGAACTCAAGCCCTGTGTGTTTGCGTTAGCTTTGCGCGTTCCACACTGCACGTGCGCGGAGCCCGAAATGGCGGTCTTGGATAACGCATGGCGATGAGGCGCACGCACAACGTGGGGCACGCAACTCTAACGCAAACACACACCGCTTGCGTTTGCTTCTATGCGCTATACTAAAACTCTCTTGTAAGGTACAATCCCATACTGGCTGCAGCACTACGTTGGGACAGTGAAGAACGGTTTGCATTCGGAAACGACATCTCGCGAGCCATGATCGCAAGCAGTTCCGCCATGCCCGCTGAGCAGGAGAATCGGGGGACCCTCACTAGAGCGCTTCCCGTTTCCGCCGCGGGAGGGCGAGCGCCGAGCTGGAAACGCGAATACTGCTGTTCTACAACGACCATCCAGATGACAGTCATTTTGATAGGTGCCAGCGCGCCACCTATAGGTCGTGAAAGTTTTAAATTCTTGGAGAATTTTTAACACCGACCACCCACACCGATACGACCAAAGCCGAGAATTACGAGTACCAAATTTGTTCTCGCTGTGGACCGCTGCCCATTAAAACACGTTTGTTGTGGTCGACGAGGGAACTACGTAGAAAATCTAAAGCATCACTTTGATTTTCATAAAATGATACTTGAAAAACATGATATTGTGTTTAAAGCAATCAAATACCTTTCAAAAATCAAGGAATATTCCAGTCAGAAATTGCTTATTTTCAAATTTTTTCTTGAATTTTCCTTTGATACTAAGTGCCGCCATTTCGGTTTCCTTTTTTTATTTTAAAGCCGCCCAGGCAGCACCAGGATCTGGGCCAAAACTTGGCTTGCGTCTGGGAGTTTAGGGCATTGAAAAGCCCGAAGAAGCCAAAGTAAAGCCAAACCTGACCTCCCTTGGCAACAGTCTGGGTATTTTTGGCCCTAATTCGCCAAACAAGTGCCAAACTTAGGCTTCACTGCCTGGTAGTTTGGTTGTCATCTGGCATCTTTGGGCCTAACTTTGTACGAAATGTCTACGAAGAATACTGTGCATATTTACACAAAGGTTACGCCCTTAGATGTTCAAAAATTTATGTAAGCAAGTGTAAACAAGACGTTTCAAAAAGACACTTTTCTAAGCAATTCTGTGTGTCAAAAGATTTAGAGTGTTGTGCCCTAAAAAAGGAAGATGAAGATCCGGTAAAACTGCATAGTTTGAAGCAACCCGAGACGTGGAAATACGTGTGCTGACAACAAAAGAAACATTACATGTGTTTGAGACGTTCTCGTTATCTTCTTTTGGTGTTAACCGTCGTATTTCCTCAGTGCCGATTGCTTCAAAACGATCAGTATACACCAGCTCACTCGCGCCCTTACGCTCTATTCTGTATTTCAGGACAGCGCCGTGCTTTTCAAGTCTACTATGTTATTCCATTTCCATTAAATAACTATCTAGAAGTAGACGAAGCTCGCATCATACCTACTGTATTTTGTGGCTGCTATATATCCACTATATAAAAAAAATTCATTTCTAACAAAGTACTGTTTCCGCAAATCTCAGATTTTGCGTCCCCATTGTACAATGTTAAAATTAGGCAATGTTATTTATGATTTGACCAACCTCCACACAAGACCAATTATCCGCTTCATCAACTCATGAAACGTCTCCATTCATTTGTTTAAAATTTCAGTTGCGGCCCTAACCCAAAAATAATTCGTTTAGTTATTCCCACTGTGGAGATGAATTTGCTTAAAGAGCCTCTAAAGTTGTTTCTGGCGTCGTCATTCTACGGTCACCACACAATCTTCGGCCTCCAAGAATAATTAAAAATTCAAAGGTTATACTAAAACGCGTTCGATTTCCTATTAAAACTAGGATCAACGGTCATGAAAGCCCGCTTTTTGTGTGTGTGTGATTTGACGCAGAATTTAGAGGGAGCAATGGGAGGTGAGAAAGACAATTTCGAGCGATCGCTTCCTGCTCGCAAATCCCACAGATTCGAAAGTCAATTGGCCGTTGAATGGCCTACCTCTTCCAGGGTGTTAAGCGGTAGCTCGTGATGGACGGTGGAATGACCGACGGCAACCTCTAATATCTCCGTCGAATCGCAAAAAAAAAGGCGTGTACCGATTGCTGATCCCGTTCGTGAGAGCAAAACTAACAGGGTAACACTTTCCTGTTTTTTTAGGGCGATAAAAGCTGTAGACCGAGTTATGGTCGTAGAAGGACGATCTCATACTTTACTTTAGCGACTTTTTTAAGACAAAGTCACACTGCCCGTAGATCATACGAAGGGCACGGAGTATCACCGCAGACATGGTGAGAGAATTTTTTGCGGACCGGCCTCAGACATGTTCTAAGCATATTTGCTTCATGCATTTGTATGCTCTAAACATGTCTGCCTAAAGGTTTTGTACAAAAAATGAGCCACGAGCAAGGAAGCCTCAGACAGTGTTTGCAGACTGTCTTTTCTATGATGTATTAGCATGTGTGACCGCAGATTAATAGCGTGGATGTTCACTGCGATCGCCTCGCTGTGTCTCTTCGCTCCTTGGCGCAGGTGGTGGACTTCCTGAACGACCTGTACACCTGCTTCGACGCGATCATCGAGCACTACGAGGTGTACAAGGTGGAGACTATCGGCGACGCCTACATGGTGGTCGGGGGCCTCCCGCTGCGCAATGGCATCAGCCACGCGGCCCAGGTGGCCTCCATGGCACTGCACCTGCTCGCGGAGGTCCGCTGCTTCCGCATCCGCCACAGGCCCCACGACACCCTCATGCTGCGCGTGGGGATACACTCCGGTGAGCGGGCGAGACTAGAGCTACAAAAGCTGAGAGTAGCGACAATCGAATCCCCGACTGTCTTTTTTGGGCGCCGCCATGCTCCTGCTATCTGACGCAGTGGTGTTGCAAATATTTAACGACAGAACATATCATGGGATAAAAAAAAAAATACCTTTTCAAAATTAAAGTAGCGTTCAAGTAAGATTTAGTGCAGGCTATTTGAGTAGAGTGAAATTATTTTGAAATTTAATGGTATTACATTCGATGTTTGGCAAGTAAGTTCCAAGCTCGTAATATAATAAAAAAATACAGACCTTTCCGCTTCTTTGTAATGCGAATTTAGAGCGCAGCTCTTGAGGTATGTTGATTTTGTGATGTAGCGTCGTAGAGAATTTGAGAGAGAAATATATATACATGTATACGCTAGATTTTTGTTGTGGTTTCTGTAGGGTTGGCCACGGAGGATGAGGAGGGCGCGGTGGGAGCCGCATAATGCAACGCGCGCTAGTTTGAACGTGACATTTTTGGCTAGTTGTTCCGGATTTCGTGAAGCCGCGGCGTGTGACGTCAAATTCCGTCTCAGTTTCCCCATTAAATTTAGCTGGAAAAAGTACGCCACATGACCTCTACACCATTTCATTTTTCCCGCTAGATTTACAAAAAAAAAAAAAATGGCGTCACGAGACTTTGTGTCATATCGCCTATGAACAAAATCATTTTTCAAGCTAGATTTAGCGGGAAAATTTACCTTACGAGACCTCAACACCAATTCAGTTTCCGTGCTAAATTTAGGGGGGTAAACGATGTCACATGAGTTTATGACACGTAACTTAAACTCGAAGTTGGTTTCGCCGCCAAATTAAGCGGAAAAACTGACACCACACGACCTCAATCACAATTCAATGTCCCGCTAAATTCAGAGGAAAAACTGAATTGGTGTTGAGGACATGTGACGTCAGTTTCGATGCCAAATCTAGCGGGGAAACTGCATGCGCAGTGATGCATTATGGGACATCACAGACCTACACACACAAATTCCGCTCCTTTGCCAAATTTAGCGGGAATTGAATTAGTGTAGAGGCCTGTGACGTCCCATAGAGGAGCGCGCGCGGTCACGCCGATAGCGACGGCGACGCCGACAACGACGGCAACGGCTACGCCGCCACCTGTTTACGCGGAAACGGGCGCCTAAGAGCTGCGCTCTAAAAAATTCAAAAGGGGGCGCTTTATTTCGGATGAATTCGCTAAAAATTAGATTTTGCTGCGATGTTCTTGATTTTCAAGAGGTGCGTAGCTGCTACATTCTAAGTCTACTTCAACCTAATTTGGGATATGCAACATAATGTGTTGCGGAGTATTCTAAGTACAAACGCAATTCACGTGTTGTAGAAATGTAACCTTCCGAGCGTTTGCCTGGCAGAAGGCTCGGCTCATGACGCATTCCGCAATGAGTTTCTAATATGGCTCGTCGCGATTCAGAGGACTTGCCATGTAGTCCGGCATTGCATGTCACCAACAGCCAAAGTAGAAGTTGATCAGGCAGCCAGATTTGTTGATGACTATGCGAGTGAACGACACACGTGCACACTCAGGAGTAACATCGACTCGAGGAAAGCAGCCTCTATCGCTGATCAACAACCAAGAGCAAGTACTTTGCCCCCCTCCCCCCCCCCCCCCCAATCAGAAGCGAAAATCACATGTACAATCAAACTGAAATAGCCGCGTCCCACTAGAGCGACAGGCAGCAACAAAAGACAGCCTGTTTGTCAGAGTCCGCCGTCCCACCTGGCGGACACGACGCAAAACACGGGGGCAAGGAAACTTGTTTCCTAGTTAGACTTGAGTTATCAGTAAAACACTTTAAAATACACAGACAGACAGAGTCTGGCGACGCGGTTTTCGTGTTTTGCTCTTCGGGCATAAAACGCGCCGAAATATACGGTGAAAGTGGAGATGATTACTATATGTTTTGTTTTAACTTCCGCTTCTCTTCATTTGCCGTTGGCGACTTTTCGTGAACAGTAGTAACAATCGACACCAACATTTTTCCGAACTAGAATACCTGGATCGTTCCTTTTTTTTTTTTTTTTGGTGGTCTAGTGGAGCGCCACGGAATTTCACGCCGATTTTTAGAATGTTTATAACTTCATATTCGAATGATCGATCGAAGGCAGGCGTTTTTTGGTGGACAATATGGCAACCCGATTATAACAGAGCCTGTTGACAAGTCTCTCGTCTGCCGGAATGGCTTGCCGCGGAACGTCGTGTTCTACGTCGTGGGGAGCGGTCTTACTTTGGTCAGTTCTGGAACATGTGTGTATCTATCTTGATGCAGGGGCGTACACCTCGGCGTCTTGAAGTTGAAGTACCACCTCGCGCATCAAGTTTTCGCGAGAAAAAACCAGCCACAGCATAGAGTAATATACACAAGGTAAACAGCGGACACTGCCATAGGCCCCAGCGGCCCATAAAGACGAGTGAAAGCTAGCGCTCCTAGCAGGCGGTATTAAACACAACCTAGTTCCGGTTTCGGTCAAGTTAGTTTCGGTTTCGGTTTGGGCGTTTTTGCTCCGGTCCTCCAGTACCTTCTTCCTTCCCTTTCTCCCAATTTTTCTTTCTTGCATCGCTCCTCGCTACGCTCTCGGGAGCTCCTCGGCTCTCGGAGCTACTGTTTCTTTTCTTTTCTTTTTTAATGTTGACGCAGTTCTATTATAGTTTTTACGATGTGATTCCTGCAAAATGTGTAAAACAAAATTTCTACTTCACACAACAGATGCGTATATCTTGTTTGTTTGATTTCTCTACTGTAAAACATTGAAGTCACACAACCTTCACATTGACTCCTGACTGGTGGAGCATTTTGGGGTCAACAACAGTGAGTGGTTCGAAAATACTTTATTGGACCACATTTGTGTTTACATGATTTACTTCAGACGCTATATATGTTATATTAGAAACAGAAACTAATACTCACAAAAATAAATGAATATGAGGGAGTTCGGCATATTGCTCACTTCGTATTAGATTTTAGCGGGACCAAGTTAACAAAACATTTCCACAGAGAACATGCTGAATGGTCCATTCGCTTTCACGCCGACTCGGGCTCGGGAAGTAAGCCCAGAAATAAATAAGACATCGCTATCATTACCAGTCAACAGAGTATAACACGAGTGCAAAGCACACAGCGAAGAGTGCGAATTCCCAATTTCCGGCTATCATAAAACATATGAATTGGCATAGCCTGAAACACACTGCGGGCGAGCCAATACCAAACACTGAGAACTCTATTAAGAATCTGACAATATTCAACGTTCCTAAACATTCCTCGAAATAGATTTGATCAGAAAGGAAGTATTGCTCAAAAAAGCGGCTAAAAGCTATACTCGGTGGATACATTTTCTTTCTAATATCTATAGCATCTATACACTATTTTCTATAGAAATTATGTAGGAAGTGGGTAAATACCTTTGCAAAAGGGCCGTGATACATATTTGCTGGAAATAAGGGAAACAAATTTTTCGAGTGCAAGCTGCACCGCTCAATTAATACGAACTTTCTGTTTCCGATTTGGCAACCACCTCTGTTATTACAGTTAAACTTGTCTAGTTGCTTTAAAGCAACTGAAGAGTCTAACCAAACTTTGTCCAGGTTCCGGTTAAGAAATCAAACATGCCAACACAAGCGTATTCTGCGAAACATTTTTAAAAACCATTTGTGGCACTCTAAGCAATGCCGAAACTACCCAGACCTGAAAGGGTGCGATACAAGACAGCACACACTCCTCAAACATGCGCCATATTCTCTATTACGGCAAGAAAGCAATTTTCTAATTGCTGAATGAAATTAAAGGCAGCCTGGGATGGTATATTAGATTCCCGAAGAGCTTGCCAGGCACGTGATATGCTTTAAGCACAAGTAAGTACTGGTGAGGCCTGGCCAAGCTCTCAGACTCTTCCCTCACCAGCTGAGAACAGCTACAGCTGTGGGTTGTCAGTCCAAGGAAACGCTTGATCAAATAGCCCCTAACGTAACAAGTGGCCAGGTCAACAAATATGCTAAACCTCATGTCTAATGTCAGCTCAGAAATATCCTCGAGTGGCGGTAAGTTACCAATTGGAAGACATTACAGATTGTCTGCAATTGAACTTTCATAAAGCAAAAATATTGGCAACTCCTTCAAGAGGTCAGCCTTGTCATCCTCTACGTTTCCATTGTTCGACAGTTTGAACAGTTTCCTTATTCCTATCTGCTTCAGTCCTGAGGTGAACTGATACAACTTTGAGTTTGTATTGCAGCCCTGCAGGTGTCATATAGCTCCAAAAATGTTCTGAAGTGGGTCTTGCTGCAAACGTCGTGTAAGCAAGAAAATGTCACGGCTATTTGAAAGCTCCTCCCACACCACGAGGACACTCTTTCTAGTAATGTCCACCCTATGATGGTTTGTGACTGCATCCTACTTTCGAACTTTCATGTTGAAATAGATCCGAGTTGCAGGTGAAGGAGATCAAATACCTCAGATTCTCCTTTCAGAATGGCATGACGAACCTTCTGCCCTGTCTTCTTGAATTGTGAGCTATTTAGAAAGCTCTCCATTCTATCGCAGAGGCAGGCTGTAACCAAGGCTGCCTCAGGAAGCTCCTTGGCATAAACAATGAATAGGATTGCAAGACAGACTGAGGCACTGATTACCTGTGCGGCACGTTTTACTTTCATGTTATTGAAAGGGTTTTGAAAAATGTGTCTCTCAGTAAATTTCGGAGCCAATCGCAACCTCATCTCATGGGTAAAACGATAAAGTTTAACAATATGGGACCAGTCAATGACCTTAATTCCAAGGCAAAATTTGTGTGCTTGGAGATTATTCCTGGTTGTTTTGATAAGGTGCGAAACATCAAAGATAAAGTAAACATATTCGTTATCAGCTCCAAAAACACGGCTTACCCACAGACACACCAAGTGGGTTGGCCAAGCTCACGTTTGGAGCCCCTTATCTCAGACCAAAGCCTTTAGTGGGAAGCCAGTCTTAAGCTCTTGCAACGAGAGAAATGAGGAGACTGCGGTTAACAAAAACGGTATTGAAGTGTGCACAACAGTGTATGCAAGTGGCTGAACCGACCTCCTGGAAATTCTAGAGAGCACAACACAACAACCAAGGATCTATCTGAAACACCGTTCAACACCGTCATCTGTAAATCCATGGACAATGTCGTTCGCAGAGTAATAAATAATGTCCCTTTTCAAAGAAATCTCATCGAAAATCAAGATGCACACACGATTAACACCCGACAGCCCGACGGAAACAACAGCGCGAGAAGCTGAAACCGCTCGGCTCCACAAACTCACGCCGAGCATGCGAGCACGCGGGCAGTCATGCGTCATCTTGTTTGATGCGAAGCTGACCGAACACGCTGCAGCAGAAAGCACAAACGGACGGCACGGCACGCACGGCACGGACGAACGACGCACGGACGAGCAGAGGCCATGCAAAATGATGCTGATGTGACGGCGTGTAGGCAAGCAGGCACACGGCAGGCCGTGGCAGGCGCCATACCTCGCGTAATTTTTGTGACGTATCCAGTTAAAACTATTTAGTCGTTTTGAGTACTTAAATAATTCTAAAACGTAACACAAAATGAATACTTGTCACGGAAAGAGTTCTACCTAATTTTAACCAAATCACAGAAAAGCGCCACGTAGCAGAGGGCATTAAACACACTATCTGGGCCGCGAATCGGCTTCAGTGTCCTCTCTTTACGTTTACTATATTACTCTATGGCCACAGCAAATTCCCTTTCGCAACAGGACCGCCCGGCGCCAGCCAGCAAGCCGCGCCCGTGACCACTACGTGCAATCGAGGGACCGGAACTGCGGGAAGGAGGAGTGGACCCCAAGGGCTTCTTGTTCAGGGAGGAAGGGTAGAAGGGTGGGAAGGGAGGCAACAGAAAGCATAAGCGGGCGAGGAGGATAAGTTTGTCTCCGAGAGATGTTCCTCAGTGGGACTGCTTGCTGCGCTTCAAGTCCAACGACAGACAAGACCTCGCCCGTCGTCGGTCGTTTGTTGGCGCGTGTCGGCGATTGTCGCGGGTGTTGGTCGTTGCAGTGGGACTGCATCGGCGACACGGAACTTTTTGGTGTCATCGGATAAAAACCGGTGCTTCTCGCTCTAGTGGAACGAGGCTATAGAAACAAATTCGAGAGGCCAAGAGGGGAACACTGGGAACAAAGAAATATTCCACGAAACCGCTTCTAACCCCTCTTCCCATGTGCCCTTCTGCACCAGTTCGAAATTATTTGCGGAGCATTCCGGTCAAGATGATGAAGATTCCGGGATCAAAATCCACCTGTTTAGAATTAATTAACTCCACCTATCAGAAAACTGGTTTTGAGAATTTTGAGGGTAAAAAAATGCGCGCATTTAGATGGCGAAGAGGTAAAACTTAGTAGAACGGACATTTGAGAAAGTTGGTACGAGTTCACCGTGAAGAACAGTGCTAGCATGTTCATGGTGAAAAACAATAACAAAAAGGAACGACTACACAGGAGACGCGCTGTTTTCCACAAGAAAAGAAACGCATTTCAATGAGCCTAGGGGCCAAACTTACGCCAAAATAAACACACAAGGAGATTTTGGGGAAGTCCAGTCTACGTCACTGTAGCGCAATAAAACCAGCAGGATCGGGCGTTTTCTGGCAGAAGGACTGCCTGTGCTCGCATGAAAACGTGTTCGCGCATTTTCATACCGGAATTTTATCAACCGATTTCCGAAAATGGTTTATTGCGATTCTGCCGAGAGTTTGCGCCAGAATCCTCCGTTGACGGAAGCACTCTAGCTTCGGAGCAAAGGTAGGATATGAGTGTAAAATCCCGATGACGTCACCAGCACTTTGCTAGGCCGAAGCGCATCGTGATATTCAAAAACAACTTTTAAAAAAAATTAACTAGAGGACAGATAGATGCGGGCGAACTTGAGGCTATCCATTTGGTCTTTTGTAGGCAAACGAAAAGTGTGTTTTGCTGGAGCTTTGTTTCCTCTTCTGTGTTTGTTCGCTTGGTTCCAAGATTGCAATCGGTTAAGACTTGTCCAGGAGTCAAACGATCCCTAGTTCTGTATATTAATCCGGCGGCAACTTTTTCGAGGATTTTTCGAAATCGATTTGAGATAATGAGTACAAGATATTGAGAAAAGTGAATAAGATAGAGGAGCAATTACGCTAAACAATAGGTATTTTGCAAAATGTAAGAAAAAACTGCCAAAAGTGTTTCAAATACAGTACCTTGTGTCGAGTATTTAAGACATGCACAATTCTGTTCTGGCGCCATTGACCTTTCCGAAAAACCCCACGAGGAATCTCTTCAATCCTAGGCTTCGTCAACCCTAGAATAAATTCCCAAATAATTAAAAATTAGTTTGAGAGTTTACTGGTAGGGTTTGCTTGTCAACAAGCATTTGCACACAGAAGAAGGTAATATATCAATTGATCACCTGATATTCAAAAAGATGGGAAAGACCTCAAGTTAATACAATTTTAAACGAAAGATATCTTCTCAGGTCTATATAAGCTCCACCATCTGCCTCAACGATTATTGCAAATAGACACTGAACGCGAATACGTGTTCCAAATATGTCTTCAAGTGGGGCTGAATAACCGCGGATTTATCACGGGAGGCAGATATTTCTTTCTGACCCCAGCTTCCCAAAAGCAATCGCTTCGCGCATTTGAAAAAAGAGATTGCCCCCCGTCCCCTTCGCCATTACGTAGGAACTCTTCCCGATTACTGGAGGTGCTTTCATGACACACTGAAATATCACCAAGGAGGAGAAACAAAATCCAAATATCGATCTCATAACATCTGGACACTATAAATAGTAAAAAAAAAAACTCTGCAAAACCAAGCTCGGAACGTCTGCAGTATATTACCTACCAGGAAGAAAGCAACAAGGCACGAAGAAGCAGAACCTTCAGACAAGAACTTTGAGAACAAATTGCTTCTTCAAGCTAATAAAGCCTTTTGGTAAAAATAGAAGCCATAAAACAGCTGTGTTTTCCATTAGGCTACCGGGGTTGCGCTATTGTTATCAAAACAGGTGTACCTTTTCTTTAAAAAAAGTAACTTCAAAAGTAACTCCAATTTTTTACGGACCATGGTGGGTGGGTTCGCTCAATTAATTTCAAAAGGAATAATTTATGCTAAAATCAAATTACTTAAGAAGCCGCTACTTAGTCACTTAAATACAATCTTTTGGGTAACCGTACACGCCTGACACAATGTAATTTTGTGTTTTGATGATATTAAGCTAATGTGAACGTCAATGCTTATAAAGAAGTTTGGTATTTCTCTTTTTTTTTATCTAAGCAATGTCATGAACTCAAAAGGAACGCGTTCTTGCCAACCTGTAGTGCAACATTCTCACGGAGTTTGAGCTTTCTGCGGCGACTAGTTCACTTACGCGGGGCAAAAAACTCGGTTATTTTTTTTTATAAAGCTTCGTATTGCTTTTACGAATGGTTTCTATGTGCTACTTTATGTGACATTCCGATGCACTTGTCTTTGCTGCAGGACCTGTGTGTGCGGGTGTGGTTGGGAGAAAGATGCCTCGTTACTGCCTGTTCGGAGACACCGTGAACACGGCCTCAAGGATGGAGTCGACTGGAATGCGTGAGATATTCATATCCTAACTAACAATAAACTACAGAAATCTCCGTGGAAAGCAAGTTATACCATAGCCTCCTACACTATTGGGTAACGCCGGCCCTTCGACGCCAGAACTGTGGCAGCCAATAGTAGAATACAGAAAATGCCAGGGAGATGGTGTAATGGCGCGTTCACACTGGAAGCGGATCTGCAAACGCGAAGCGGATCCGCTCGTACTCAATCGCAAGGTGGCTAGGATCGAGCGGTTGGAGCGCGTTTTTGCCTACCGCTTCAGGAGCGATTTCTCCCAACCGCATTCGCGAACCGCAAAGCGGCAGCCAATCAGAACACCACACTGGCGTGACGTCAGTGACATTAGAAACAAGATGGCACCTGCCGCTGGTGAGGCGTTTAAGGCGCTGTAGTCCTAGCGTTACAACAGAAAAATCAACGAAGAACCGTGATGTTCACGTCCGTCACTTGAATCCGCCGCGAAAATAATTGACTCGTAATCTTTAAGGGCTTCGGCGAGGGGATTTGGTTTGGGTAAGAATTTGTTTATTATTCCGGGTGCCACAGCCCGAAGCTCGCTGCCTTGTTAATCTTTCCCCGTAGAACGTCGGAACCCGCCCCGATCGACTGAAATGTCAGCTTTTGTACCCACTAAGATACTCGCGTGAACTATTGGAAGCTTCCGACACCGTGCATGGCCACCAGGAAGGCCGATGGAGACGTCGTGAGCCTAATTGCGTAGCCAACGCACTACCGTAGAGCGGGCAACGCACTACCGCGGAGCTACTTGCGCTAGCTCGACCTGTAACGTTTACTGCTCACAAAAGAAGCAAAGAGAACATTCTCCAGGAATAAAGTGTACGTAAAAGAATGATGCAGAGTAATCCGTACGGCGTTTATTTGATCTTAATGTCAAACAGACCGCAGACTCGATTGACGTGCGAGTGACGAGAGGAGAGTCCGCCACCAACGAAGCCACGACCGGCTAGCACTGAACATATTGCCCCGCACCACGGTCCACGCCACCACCCTAAACTTCGAGAATGATAGGAGCAAGCGACGAGGGGGCGGGGGGAGATGGGGGGGGATGGGGGGGATGGGGGGGGGGAAACTGGTTCTCGATTCCTAAAACAAAGTAAGCCATTTCATGCGGGAAGGGTCCACTTCAAAGAAAAGGTCAGGGACATCCTCTTGTGAGTCAGCAAGGCGCGCCTAGTTGGGCTTTGCTTGTGGGCGAACTCGAGTGAATCGCAGGCAAGTTTCGCTTGTCTATGTCTCTTTTTTCGCTGCCTGAACTCGTGATAAGTGCGAACATCCCGAAGAGGTATCTTCAGAGTGCTAAAATAGCGAAGATTTGGGTTGTGGATCGTGAATTTAAGTTGATTTTGGATTGTAAAACGGAGTTGCCAAACGCAAGTCTCAAAAGATCACGCGTGATCGCCGAGAAAGCGCCAACCACCTTTCGCGAACCGCCAAGCGCCTCTGGGTGTGTCTGAATGGGGTCGCTCGCCAACCGCATCTACAACCGCTTCGCGAACGCGGATCCGCTTCCAGTGTGAATGCGCCATAAAGTTAGTGGCACCCCTCGAAGATCCGCTGGCACTTTTCGAAACTCTTCTGGATAGTTTTATTTAAAATCGAACATACGTGCCGGGATGAGCATTTTAATTTGCCCCAAAGTTCGCTGCATATGTCTGAACCAGCCTTCACGGTAATTTCAGGATAATTCTCGAAGCATCAAAATACCTGCTGTGTAATGGCGCATTCACACTGGAAGCGGATCCGCGTTCGCGAAGCGGTCGCGGATGCGGTTCGCGAGCGACCCCGTTCAGACACACCGAGAGGCGGTTGGCGGTTTCTCGGCGATCATGCGTGATCTTTTGAGACTTGCGTTTGGCAACCCTGTTTTACAATCCAAAATCCACTTTAATTTCAAGATCCAAAGCGAAAGTTTTGCTATTTTGGCACTCGAAATATTTTTCTCCGGGATGTTCGCGCACATCACGAGTTCAGGCAGCAAAAAAAAGAAGCATGGACCCGCCAAACTCGCCTGTGATTTCCTCGACTTCGCCCACAAGCAAAGCCCAGCTAGGCGCGCCTTGCTGACTCAGAACAGGATGCCCCCGACCTTTTCTTCGAAGTGAACCCTTCCCGCATGAATAGCTGACCTTGTTTTCGGGATAGAGAGCCAGTTTTCCCCCTCGTTGTTGTTCGCTCTTATCATTTTCGAAGTTGTGAGCGGTTGGGTGGACCGTGGTACAGTGACCGTGGTGCGGGAATGTGTTCGGTGCTAGCCGGTCGTGGCTTCGTTGGTGGCGGACTCTCCTCTCGTCACTCACTCGTCGATCCAGTCTACTGTTTGTTTGACATTAAGCTCAAATAAACGCTGTATGGATTACCTCTGCATTTTCTGGTACGTACACTTTATTCCTTGATTAGGTTCCCTTTATTTGTTTTATTAGTAGTAAACGTTACAGGTCGAGCTAGCGCAGGTACCCTGCCCCCTCCGCGGTAGTGCGTTGGCTACGCAATCGAGCTCTCGACGTCTCTATCGGCCTTCGTGGTGGTGATGCACGGTGCCGAAAGCATTCAATAGTTCACGCGACTACCCTAGGGGGTAGAAAAGCTGACATTTCGGTCGATCAGGGGCGGGTTCCGACGTTCTACAGGCAGAGATTAACAAGGCAGCGAGCTTGGGCTGTGGCACCCGGAATAATCAACAAACTCTTACCCGAACCAAATCACCGGTGCGAAGCCCGTTAAAATTACTGAGTCAATTATTTTCGCGGCGGAATCAAGTGACGGACGTGAACATCAAGTTTCTCCGTTGATTTGTCGGAAGCTAAGACTACAGCGCTAGGACTACAGCGCCTTGGGCGCCTCACCAGCAACAGGTGGCATCTTGTTTCGAAAGTCACTGACGTCAGCGTCGCGTTGTGATTGGTTGCCGCTTTGCGGTTCGTGAAAGCGGTTGGGAGAAATCGGTCCCGAAGCGGTTGGCAAAACGCGCTCCAACTGCTCGATCCTAGCCGCTTTGCGGTTGAGAACGCGCGGATCCGCTTCGCGAACGCGGATCCGCTTCCAGTGTGAACGCGCCATAAGAGCAGGAGGAGGAGGGGCATACCCTTCCCTTTGTACTCTTCCCTCCTTCTCCTCAAGAGCTGTGCTCTATTTTCGCCTTACAGAGATTTGTAAACGTCTTTCGTTATTTTTTTCCCCAAAGAAAAAGCTTTTGTTTTTTATTTATTTATTTGATTTGCGATGTAACCGTCTTTCTCAGTCCTTTGGGGCACCCGCATCTTCACATTCCAAAAAAAAAAAAAAAAAGTTGAAGTTTTTTTGTTTTTTTTTTGCGTGTTTTCCTTTTTCCTTATCTGCGGTAATTTGGAACCCACGTTTGTCACGTCAAGCCGCGGCGGTGGGGCTTCGGGCGATCTTCCGGTCTGGGAGTTCGGGCGGAAGTTGCCGTGCGTGACGGGCATTCCTCTGTTGTTTTGGAAGAAATTGAAGCCGAAAACCTACCTTTTCGTCAAAAAGCCGGGAAATTTGTGATCAGTTATCATGTATTTTCTGCCTGCTCGTTTCGTCCGAGAACGTAGATTGATGCAGTGAAAAGGGAAAACCAGACAACGTAAAACTTGCAGAACACGATTTCTTCTGCGGCAAGCAATTTAAGTTGAATTCAGGGATACATGAACGCGCGAAAGCCGTCAGACTATTCGGATCATCTGCGGACCACCGTTCAGCTCGTCTTCACATTGAAACTGTCGTCTGCTAGTTCAAAATGTCGTCTGCTCGTCCAAAGGACAGCGGCCCGGAGACAAACCGTTTAACAACTAATTAATAAGAAGCGAGTGCAGGCCTCAAAAGACTTAAGTTTGAAAGTTCTTTGAGGTAAGTAGGCTAGCACCTCCTAGATACGAAAACCTAAGGGCGGAATTTTCCCGCGTCGCTAGCGAAGGCCAGCGTAGGCCACAGACTGGACACGACTACGGCGTCAGCGTTCAGCCGGGATTCGGGCTCTCATTGATGGGGCGCGTGTTTCGGCCCAAAGCTTCCGCAGCTTTCGTGTCCAATCTGTGACCCACGATGGCCTTCTTTAGTGACGCAGAAAAATGCAACACTAGGTTTTCTTCTCTAGCAGGTGTTGAGCCGGCTTGGTGTAAACCGTAGATACAATGAGATGTTGATCATTGTTACTAGTGGGCATCACCAACTTGCTACAATCTAAGAAAAAATATGATCGCAAAATGCCCTTGAGGGAATCTGCGGCTTGTGCAAATTTTGCACTTTACCGAGGTTGTGAAAATCTCTGCGGAGAGCAAGTTATCTTCTAGGATTCGACTGGAGGGATAGTGGGTAGACCTCGAAGCCAGATGCCCCGAGCTCTGTTCACTATTTCTTTTTTAAATCAGCATATAAGAGTTCGGCGTTCTGACATCATCGGAACCTCGCGTGCGAGAAGCACACGAACTTGCGCTCTAGGGTTGTTTTAAGCTCCTATTTTTATGTCAAATATACCTTCTTCATCAAGTGGCCTTTCTAGTCCGGCAGGGGTCGATAGGGCTTGGGCAAAACCGTTCTTCACGAGCTAAAACAGTTCTCTGGGCATCAAAAAAAACTTTCAAGAACGGATTGTTTTTGGGGTGTATGCCTGATTCACTTGGTTCAATTCTGACTGCATTTCATATACCGACGTCGAGCACAGTAGCTACCGTCCAGCCTTTTGCATCCCGAGCGACGTCGGGACTGAAAATAACGAGCTGAATCTCATCATATGAATCAGGCTTTAGCATCCATCCTGCTCTGTTTACGTTTAATGAATCTACGCGCCCCACATAATTTACGCAAAGTTTTGTTGTGTAATGATCCGTGTTAATTTCGCTCAGGCCATTATAATATTAAGACATTCCTGGGAACGCATAGTATCAACAATTAATACACTAAGAAGAGCACGAGGTCTTACACGGACACCAACATCACACTCCAATGGTTCTGTTGGTGCGGGAAGG